AAGGGAGCGGTACAGAATAGGCACCTCTGTGCTGTTGTGACGCTGGACGTAAAAAACGCATTTAATACAGCGCCTTGGCTGTTGATTGATGCGGCACTGCACAGGTCGGGGGCACCTGGATACCTGACAAACATTTTGCGGTCCTACATGTCGGAGCGGGAAATTCAGTACGGAGCAGGGTCAAGCCTGCCAGTTACCAGTGGTGTTCCACWGGGTTCAGTCTTAGGACCAACGCTGTGGAACCTCTTCTACGACGGCATTCTACGACTACCGGTTCCAGATGGTGTTAAGCTCGTGGCATTCGCTGATGATGTGGCAGTTGTAGCTGTAGCCYACAATGCCGAGCTCATGGAACAATTAGTAAACCCTGTCCTCTGCGAAGTGGCACAATGGATGTCATCTAACGGCCTGACTCTCGCACCGGAAAAATCCGAATGTATTATACTGACACGCAAGCACTGCTTTGGATCGCCACAGCTAATAATCCAAGGAGTCCAGGTACCAGTGAGACGGGATATACGATACCTAGGGGTGCAACTGGACACCCGACTCTCGTTTGTCGCGCACGCCACCTCGGTTGCCTCAGGAGCTAGAAAAGCGGCGGCCGCTCTCGGTAGACTAATGCCGAACATCGGGGGCCCCTCGCAAGCGAAGCGAAAGCTGCTAATGAGTGTGGTACACAGCCGTTTGGCTGGCCTATTGTATGGCGCCCCAGTATGGGCGGAGAGCGTTCAAGATGTCAAAAAATCAAAAAGCGCACTGTTGCAAGCTCAGAGAACTGCCGCACTCAGAGTAATAAGGAGCTACAGGACGGTGTCGGCCATGGCGTCGTTGGTGCTGGCCAAAATGCCTCCAGTCTTCATTCTGGCGAGCTCGAGACAAAGGGTTGCTGAATCCAGGAAGTCCGGAAACGTCCTGACAAAGGAAGAAGAAATTAAAAAAATAATCCATCAGTGGCAACGTGAATGGGACTCCACCGATAAGGCCGCGTGGACCAAACGGTTGATTCCGGAGCTGGAGAGATGGTGGTATCGGGGGCCGAGCCAGGTGAGCTTTCACATGGCTCAGGCGCTCACGAATCACGGCTGCTTTCAGAAGTACCTTTGGTCCAGGAAGAGGGCGCAAAGTCCAGCATGCTGCCATTGTCCGGCAGAAATTGATGATGCAGAACATACCATTTTCGTGTGTCCTTTTTGGGACGAARAGAGACGGGAGTTGTCGCAGCTTCTCCGGAGGAAACCCAGTCCCGAGCACGTAGCGGATATATTGTGCAGGCCGACAATCGAAGAACTGCCCATGGACCCAGTTCAACGGCGTAGAGCTCAAGAGGCTGCTTCCAAGATGACATCGGCGTTCTCGGATATGGTGGAGAACATTATGGGCCGCAAGGAGGAATTGGAAAGAAGGAGGCAAGGAGTGCCATGAGCGGTAGAAGACCAAAACTTAGTTAAGGCAAACATTGTAGGCTGACAGCCAAATCTAGGGTGGTTAGAGGCCCCCAAACATTTGYTAATAACACTAAGATGTCGCATTGATTACTATTTTAATGTTTATTGTTTATTGTAATGTTTATTGTTGTTGTCCAATAAABGATGCGGACAGGGAGGCAGCAATGGGAAAACCTACTTCCCTCCCTGTTCACGATTCAAACCCGAAAAAAAAATATATATAAAAAAAAAAAGGTATAATCTTAGATATAAAAGGAACATTTTTTATGCATTTCTAGCATAAAATAATTTATGAATTTTCGTGATTTTTACGTATGTTGTCAAAATTCAAACTTAGGCACGATTTTTTTTATAAGCATTTAAAATTCAAATTTTGACTAAATACGTAAAAATTACGGCAATGTTCAAATTATCTTAGATAGAAATTCATAAAAGTTTTTTTTTTTAATTTTAAGATTTGATAATTTAATACATGGTTCCTAACATATTTTTACAATAGCAGTTGAAAAGTAAAATAAATTCATAGTTACAATTTTTTTTTTACAAGCATTCAAAGTACATTTTTGTTTCTATTTGTAATTGTTAAAATATAATAATTCATAATTGTTGAGACTAATAATTGTAAGCAAAGTTTCCTTTAAATAAAAGACAAAATAATAATAATAATAATAATAAACTATAATTACTTATAAGGCATAATTAAAATAAATTAATTCACAAAATTGTAGAAAGTGAAAAACAAAAAAATAAGATTTTGGCGCCAAAATAAATGTATTTATTATCAATATTAAATACGTGTGATAAGACCCATTGGCCTTTTTTTTTTAAATGGCGGATGGTAGCATCCAAAGTTTATAGATTATACAGGTTGCCTCATTTTGAAAATATCGAAAAAACAGGAGTGTGAGAAAATGACGTGACGTCATCGTCGTACAAACTATAAAACGATAACAAGTATTACATACGTTTATAATGTTTATATGCCTATCTTGTAGTTTTGTTTCGCAACCTTTCGATTTTGTTTTATTCATTTAATTAAATAGTGTTTTAATTTGAATTATTTCTTAATACGAACAGAACGAAGGAAATAAAGAAATGTTCTTTATTTTGACTGAATTTTTTTATCATTTAAGTTAACTATTTTATAATTATAATTATGTTTATGTTTAAGTGTTTAACATCTTCTCTTAAAAT